CAACTTGGGCCAGTGAAGCAACATCCTCCACAACTAGATTGAAGAACAAAACGACAGCAACTTGTCTGTTCCCCTTTCCCCAGTTCCCCAGCACTGTTCCCATCCCCCCAATTCCCCAATAAAAATCTTTAAAAAAAAAAAAAAAGAAAGAAATGTTTCTGGTGGCTAAAAATATTCTTACCTTTAGCGTCCATTTAACTCTTGGCAAAACCAGAAATTTAATTCAATTGTGAAAAAGGAAGAGCTTTGGAATTGATCTGATATGAAATAAACACTTCATCTCTCCAAAACAATTTTAAAAGTCAAAGTTATTAGGGGACAATTTAGAATTTCAGTTGAAAGAAGTAATACCCTCAAACAACACTATTATATTGCAAACTAACTTTTCTGAGTCCGGAAGCCTTATTCCCTATTGTCTTCTTTCCTTCCTTCCTTCCTTCCTTTTTTCCTTCCTTCCTCCCTCCCTCCCTTTCTCTCTCTCTCTCTCTTATTTATCTCTGCTCTGCATCATTCTAAAACTTAATTTAGATTCCCTGACAGTTGTCTACGTAAGTGCCTAGAACCATGGCACAGATGCAGCAAAAATAGCCTACATGTGTTAAATCACATGGCAATTGATTTTCTATCCCTGCTACGTACTTGGTCCATGCACTATCTTAGCTTCTTCTAACTGCTAAAATTCCCCTTTCTGGTTCCAGGGAAAGCATTAAAAACTCATGTTTTTAGAGCCATGAAATAAACAGATCTAATGGTGTAATCACATTGAATTTATTTCTTCATGAGGAAAATAAAAAGCTGTGCACCTCCATGATTTGGGGGATCCAAGAAATGTAACATTTAGAGTTGCAAGATTAAAAAAAGCAAGCAATAATCACGGAATGCTTATAAGTGAAGTCATTTAAGTAACAAATCAAATTTGCTGATTTTAAGTCCTATTCTACTGTTTTGGCAGCTTTCATGACTGAGGTAGAAGATCTTTTTGTATCTTCCCAGTGATAATTCTTGATGGGTACAAGATCCATAAGGTCTAAAGAGAATATGCAATACTAAAGTGCTCATTTCATATTTGGGAGAGAGTTCTCCAATTACCAGAAAGACAGCGACAGTATTAATATAAAAAATTAGGAGTATATTACCAAAAAAACTATACATAGATGAGCTAGAGACACTCTACCCAAAATAACAGACAGATTGGAATGCTGTGGGAAATTTGACAGGAAAATCATCCTAGATCTTAAAAGGGCTGTGACATGGTGACAGAAAGTATTGTCTTCTGTGTTGAAGGGCATATAGCTTTAGCGGGCCATGGGGTCTGAAGGCACGTTGTAAAGATTGTTCCCAATGTAGATATTCTCATCTGCTCGGTAGTGCACTGCAGCAGGATTTTCCAAAGTTCCATTCTTAGGGTCATTAGATGAAACCTTGCATATTTGCAACACCTTTCTTCTTGTGCATAAATATTTTTTGATAATGATGGCAGTCAAAATAGTGAGCAATAGCACAGCCGGAACGGAGATTCCAATGTAGCGTGCTTCACTGGTGATCATTGACGACTTTTGGTCTAGGCACATGTGAGTTTCATTGTATTCCCAAACACCATCTAAGTGCTATGCCACACTGCCATTCCCATCTGCTAGGCAAGGGTTCAGTGGTAAGCTGGTTGTAATTGTTTCTTGTGGTGTGACAGTCTTAGTTTCTGCTGTCCACATTGGAGAAGATGAAGTAGTATCTGTCTTGAGGTTCTGCATGGATTCTGGCATTGTAGGAGCAGAGGTAGAGACCCTAGCTGATGTTGGAACGCTGGTGACCTTAGGTTGAGCTGGCTTTACCTCCAATCATATGTTGACTTTCAAATCATTAAACCACCCCGGGAGCTCCACACGGCAACAATATGTGCCACTGTCAGCCTGAGTCACATTCTTTATGGTTAAAGACACATTCCCTTTAGAAATGAGTCCATTGAGTTCATGACACACATTCCTCTGAAAGGTGACACGGTGTCCATCAGTCCCGATGAGTTGATTTGAGCATAGAGACCAAGGACATGGCCCTCGGCCCCAGAACATGGTTGTGACTTTTCTAACTGTGGAGTACGTGCAGGGTAGCATGACAGGCTGACACACCACTCCACTCACTCGTACCTGAGACACCACAGCATCTGTCCAAAGTAGTATGAGGCCTGTGAAGGTTACCCAAGGACACATGATGCCATCAGCCTGTCTCCACATGGTGGTCTTCTTTATGTCTTAGTTACAGGAATTCTGTCCAGCTGGTGTTCAGGTGGTTCTCGGTGATGGTTGCTCCACAATAAGTTGTAATTCTGATGTGTTCCAGTGAGTAAGGAGGTTTCCAGCTCCCATGATGGTTGTCAGTGATCAAAAGCCTTTTTTATAGAAGCCACTGTTGTGGAGCTACAAGCTCCTGTGCATCTTAAATGGACTAAAAACAAGTCTCTCTCGATCCAACAGTGGCCCCTGTCTCAGGAAAAATTAGAGGCCTTAACAGAATTAGTACAGATTCAATTAGAACAAGATCATACAGAACCTTCTACAAGTCCCTGGAACTCTCCAGTATTTGTCATCAAGAAAAAGTCAGGAAAGTGGCAAATGCTCACAGATCTTAGAGCTGTAAATGCTGTTATGGAATCCATGGGTGCGTTACAGCCTGGACTCCCACAACCTTCTAGGATCCCAAAAGATTGGCCTTTACTAGTGATTGATTTACAAGATTGTTTCTATACAATCCCTTTACATCCTCAAGATTTTCCTCAATTTGCATTTTCAATTCCCTCAATTAACAATAAAGAACGTATGAGGAGATATTAGTGGAAAGTGCTTCCACAGGGAATGCGTAACAGTTCAACCATTTGTTAGCTCTTTGTAGCTCAAGCTCTTCTACCAGTAAGAACTAAATTTTCTGATTGTTATATCATTCATTATATGGATGACATTCTCTGTGCTGCGTCCTCAATGGAGCAGCTGGCTGCATGTTTTGAACTACTTAAACAGCAGCTTGATTTAGCAGGACTTTACATTGCTCCAAATAAAATTTAAACAACCACACTGGTACAGTATTTGGGTACTATTGTGGAAAGACATTCTATCAGAACTCAAAAAGTTCAAATCAGAAGAGACCAGATTTTTACTTTAAATGATTTACAAAAAGTATTAGGAGACATTGATTGGCTACGTCCTACTCTAGGTATTCCTATCTATGCTCTCAGTAATTTGGCCTTTTATGAGGATATTCACAGCTTGACAGTCCTCACCAATTAACCCCGCAGGCTAATCAGGAATTAGAATTTGTTGAGCAGAAAATACAAGAAGCTCAGATACAATGTGTGGATCCCTTTCAACCTTTACAGATTTTAATTTTCTCTACGCCACATTTGCCTACAGTGATTATTGTACAAGATCAATTGGTTGAGTGGCTTTTTCTACCTAAGAATTTTGTTAAATCTCTTCCTACCTATGTGGAATTAATTTCTGAACTCATATCAAGAGTTTTGACCACAGTCCTTCATCTTAATGGAAAAGAGCCTAATCGAATTGTAGTTCCTTTTAAGAAACAACAAATATCTCATTTAAATACTCATGCTGAAGCTTGGCAAATTGCCATCAGTGACTTTTATGGAATTATTGACAATCATTATCCTGAAAACAAATTGTTTCTATTTCTGCAAAGAACTAATTGGATTTTACCTAAAAAACTTAAGCAGACGCTTATTTCTCAGGGTCTGACAGTCTTCACTGATGGATCTAGCAATGGCAAGGCAGCAATTCTCAGTGAGAAGGGTAATCAGCTTATACACACAAATTGCACTTCAGCTCAATGGGCTGACTTAGTAGCAGTGTTAGTTGCTTTGCAAACTTTTTATGACCCTCTAAATATTGTTTCTGATTCAGCTTATGTAGTTCAAACAGTACAGAACATTCAGACGGTGTCTCTCTCTTACAATTCAAATCTGTCTCTTCAAATTTGATTTAATCAACTCCAGCAGGTTGTGAGAAACCACCAGCACCCCTTCTTTATCATGCACATTCGTGCACACACTGCCCTGCCAGGTCCAATGACACAAGGCAATTCAACTGCTGATTTATTAGTAGGGAGTGCCCAGGTTGCTGAGGCAACACATTTTCATTCGTTAACCCATACTAATGTGGCTGGGTTGCGTTCAAGCTTCTCTATTACAAACAAGCAAGCCCGTCATATAACAGAGACATGCCCTACCTGTCAGATCCTTAAAGCACCTCAGGAATGCCCTGAAGGAGTAAATCCTCGAGGTCTTGTTTCTAATGCTCTCTGGCAAATGGACGTTACTCACGTCCCCTCTTTTGGAAAATCCTCATTTGTACATGTTACAATTGATACCGCCTCTGGCCTTCTTGTGGCTACAGCTCAGACTGGTGAGACTGCAGCCCACTCTTGCCATCATTTATTAACCGGTTTTTCTATTATGGGTCTCCCTAAGAACATTAAAACTGACAATGGACCTGCTTATACCAGTTCTAAATTTGCAAGCTTTTGTGCCACCTGGCGTATAACTCATACCACAGGCATCCCTTACAACCCACAAGGTCAAGCCATTGTTGAACATGCTAATTCAACCTTAAAGAAACAGTTGCAAAAACAGAAAGGGGGAGACATATGAGCAACCCCACAGGTACAATTAGCAAAAGCTATGTTTACTTTAAATTTTTTGAATTCATCTGGTTCAAGCACGGAACCACACCTTGGGTGGACTGCAGCTGAAAGACATTTTCATAACAGCCCAAGGTCACTGGGAAATGTGCCCATTTGGTGGAAAGAGGTTCAGACTAATCAATGGCATTTAGGAATGTTATTGACATGGGGACGAGGCTTTGCTTGTATTTCTCCAGGTCCAGAAGAACGTCCTTTGTGGGTACCTGGCCGGTGTGTCAAACCATATCATGAGCGACATACCAAGGAAAAGGAAGCTAATATGGGCAAAGATCGCGAGATATGATTGGCCCCTCGACTGGCCCAGATCAGAGACGAGGACTATGGCTCTCTGTCTGAGCCTCTAGGGTGTGGGAAGGTTCCCCAACTGTTCATATTGTTTTGCAACTCCTTCATAAGATTTTGCATAGAACTAAAAGATTTATTGGCCTTTTAATTGCAGCCATTATGGGAATAATAGCTAAAACAACTGTTGCTGATGTCTCCAGAGTAGCTCTTCACCAGATGGTGCAGACTACCCAATTTGTACAGCAATGGCATGAAAATGCAAGCAAAACTTGGAATCAGCAGACAAGAATTGATCAAGAAATCAGCGTATAGGGCCAGCCGAGTGGCGCATTGGTTAAGAACTAGCTTGGGACGCCAGAATGCCCTGGTTCGGATCCCACATATGAGGGCTAGTGACACTGCCCTCTACAGCTAAGATGCTGAACAACAGCTCAACCTGGAGCTGGGCTGCCGTGAGTCACCGGTGATGGCATGGGCTGTAGCCCCTGCTGCAGTGGGTTGCCATAAGCTACCATGTGTAGCCAGCAGCCGCAGTGAGAGGCCGTTCAGAAGCCGGCAACTGGTCTGCCTTGCCCAGGAAGAGCGCAATGATGGTGCCAGCTTGGGCCAGTGAAGCAACATCCTCCACCACTATACTGAAGAACAAAACAACAGCAACTTGTCTGTTTCCCTTCCCCTGATTCCCCAATAAAATCTTTTAAAAAAAAAGCGTATGATTAGCTGATTTTGAAACAGCTGATGTTTCTCTTGGAGACCAGTTAGAAAGTCTCCATACCATAATTACCTAAAATGTGATTGGAATGTTTCTACTTTCTGTGTAACTCCTTTTTCTTACTATCAGACATGTACCCCATGGTCAGAGGTACGAGCTCATCTCTTGGGACATATGCCAAACGTTACTGTAGATAACCTACAGTTGCAACAAGAACTGGATCAAATGTCTTTTGCTAATCTCCAGCTCCTCCCAGGAGAGGACACCCTTTCCCTGGATGCAGAAGGACTTTCTACTCTAAATCCCCTTACTTGGGTGAAAAGCCTAGGTGGAGGATTTGCCGGTACTCTTATGTTTTTATTGATTATTCTATTATTGTTCTGTTTAGTCCTCAGATGTGGACAACAAGCCCTCAGGCAGCCAATAGATGAAGAAACTGCAAAGTCCGTATTTCTCCTTTTGCATAAACAGAAAGGGGAGATGTTGCCTTATAGCTTCATCCTCGACCGTCCCCCCACACCAACCCCTGACCTAACGAGATCACAAGGAAGTGTCTCAGAACACTGAGGCCTGGTGGAATGGTACTGGTAAAGCTTCCTCAAGAGAGTGTCCCGGAATGCTGGGACCCGGCAGAATGATATCGTTATCTCCCTTAGTTCATGGCCGCAACAGCAGCTGTACCATCCTGGGGGTTGTGTGTATGGGAGTATGAAGGCACAGCAGGTGTTGGAATACAATGGGGCTGATTGATGGTAATTATCCATAAGGCACTTATCACATGGACTTTAGAAAAAAAAGTTTCATTCCTTTGAATTTTCTTAATAAAAGCTATGCATTTGCTCAATTTGAGACTCAGTTCCAGAGAGAGAACTGCATTTCCCGGGTCTTGCCTTAACTCTATCCTTGTCTCTTGTGTTTCTTTAACCCTTCGTTGCCCCACTGACTCCCCACTGCCCATGCTACACAGGACATGGCAGGGTAGAGCCTTGATCGCTGCAGTGCACACCTGAAGCTGATGTTGTATAATATGGTATGTCATCTATAATGGAATATACATATAGCCACGGGATGCGGAGTATAGTGTGGGAGTTGAGTCAATGGAATTGTAATAGATATGTATGATATCGGGGGAGGGAGTGGGGTGGTGGATTGGGGCAGGGGGGTTGTCACTTTGAGGGGTAAAAAGTATAACTATTGCACTGTGTTGTACAGCTGAAATTAATTTGAAAAAATAAAAGTAAAAAAGTAAAAAAAAGTAAAATCCTCTCAAAAAAAGAACAAAATAAACAAAACAGAAACAGACTCATAGATATAGAGAACAAACTGATGGTTGCCAGATGTGAGGGGGCTTGGGAGGCTGGTGACAAAAGTGAAGAGATTAAGAAGTACAAATTTGTAGTTACAAAGTAGTCATGGGAATATAAACTACAGCATAGGGAATATATTCAATAATACTGCAATAAATATGTATGGTGCTAAGTAGATATTAGACTTATCGGGGAATCACTTTTTAAATTATATAAATGTTTAACTATTATGCT